GCCCCTCAGTTGGAGACGGGAGGCCGGTGCCCTGCTCTCTGGCAACCTCCAGTCTGAGGAAGGAGCACGGGTCCTGACATGTCAGGTGAAACAGGCCAGAGAACATGATCACAGGGACGGGCTGCCAGGCCCGAGGGGATTGCAGAGCAGGGTCCCCCCAAGGAGCCTCATGATCGGAGTGGGATTATGGAGATGTCATGCTCCTAGCCTCACGATTCAGCCTGTCTGTTATTCACCAGCTTTAAGTGGGGAGGGGGAGAGGATGGGGGGCTAAAGGCCAGAGTGCAAGTCCTCAAGCCCGCCAAAGATTTGACCCAAAACTCATCTGAACTCTTGAAAGGGCACGGTTCAGATGAAGCGCAGAGGAATATATTCCACATATATTCCACAGAAAGTGGAAATGAAGTAATCTCTCCATTTTGGGGCCAGAGAGGCTGAAGGCCTGGCTCTGTGAGAGTCTCTGTCCTCCAGAAACCTTGATGTTTGGAGGAGCTTGAGGCCAACTCCTTTCCCTTCCTGGGCTGGCAGACACATCCCCTGGGCTGCCAGTGGGGCTGAGAACCTTAGAGATGAGACGTCAAGCTGTGGGGGTTGAAAAGGCATCCAGTCTTGTGGGAAAAGCAAAGCCCTGTACTCTGGGAGCTTCCAGTCTGACAGAAGACACAGGCTTCTGCTGTGTAGGGCTGCGGACTGGAGTGGAAAGTGGTGGTGGACACACATCAGCCCCTCACACACACACACACACACACATACACACACACAGATTTAGGAAGGGAAATTATCTAAGTTTCAGAGCGGGTGCGTAACTTGCCCAAGGTTACACAGCAAGTAGAAACCGAGCGATGCTTTCCTCACCACCCTGTACCCCTGCAACCCCTCCTTCTTGAGTTGCTGTCAGGGCCAGGGCACAGAAGGCTCAGTGGAGCCATCTGGGAAAACAGCCTTTGGGTTCCTGTGCCAGGGCTGGACTCTGTGGCTACATCTCAGAGCCACCGGATGTGCCAGGAATGGCTGGGATGGGAGCTTGGGAAGGGAAGCAGGCAAGGCTTCAGGGAACAAAGCAAATAAATTCATCATCAAATTATCAGGTTCTGTGGCCATTCAGTCTCCCTCACCAACTGCTTACCAGGGAAATATTCCCAGAAAATAGATCAACAGCCAGGAAAAGGGGATGGGAATGAGAAGGGAATGGGAGAAGCTCACACACAGGGAAGCTAGTCTGTGTATTTCTGGGGATGTTTCAGTCTGTTTCCGCATATGTTTAAGTCCCTGGGCATTTCCTTCTTGGTTCATCCCTCTGTCATACTTCTATGAGTATGTAACCTGGAGTGTACTTCTCCAAATATGTCCGCGTATAAGCGTGGAAGGCTCACGTGTGTCTCATGTGCGGTTCTGCCCACCCCATGTGCACCGATGTGTCCACCTATCTGTGCGTGCACTTTGTTGTGTGGCTATGTGTGTACTTATGATGACCCCATGCCTGGGTCCTTACATCTGTCCGTTTCCGTGCATTTGTCTGGGGCTTTTGTACTTTGAGGTTTAGGGTAGAAGAAACTTTAATTCCTTGCTTTTAAGCAATCTGAGCTGGCCAGGAAAGGGGGAAGGGAGGGCATGAAGAGGCAGCCACTTTTCTCTCTGCAACTTTTTTCATCTTGGAAGGGGAGAGACAGCAGTCGCCCAGGGACTTGCTGACAGAATTTCTCCCTGGCTGCCCCAGGTCCAACGGCAATGCTACTCAGAGAAGAGGTGGGGGGAAGGACTGGAGAGGGGAGACTAGAACTGAAGGGCCCCTCCTCTTCACCCCTCCTTGACCTGGGAGAAGCCAGGAGACAGATGCGAGAGATGGGAAGATATGAAAGAGAAATTCTCTGGGGTCAGTGAATTTTTCTTTACCACCCTAATTGTTAAAACATTACTCATCTCTTGGAACAGAGGTTCCCAGGAGAAGGGGAACCCTAGACCCTTCAAAACCAGGGGTTAGAGGAGTTTTTGCAGAGGCCTGAAGCCCATCCCCACACACTGGTCTTGGTCACTGCCTCCCCCCACCTTCCTCATCAGCCATCCTTGGCACCATCACCTTCCCCCAGGCCAAATGAGCCCTGGCAAGGAAAGGGTTATCCCAGGTGAAAATTAGGGGTGGGAAACACCTGCAGGACACTTTTCTAAAGGAATAAGCTTCAGTGGCCCCAAGGACAGAAAGCTGAGAGGAGACAATGGCAAGAGCTGAGGTTAGAACCAGGCAGAGCTAGAAAGCTGATTATCAGATCAGGGGAGGAAAAAGAGGGGTGTATCGTTACCTGCTTGGAAGTAAAAAGTAAGTCTTGTCCTCTCTGTCCTTTCCCCTCTCTACCGACATCCCTTATACATTCTGGGGAAGTCCTTGATCTCTAAGGCCCCATCTACACAAGCCTCGGCTACCCGGATAACATTCCATTGACTCTGGATACAATCCCAGAGGCAAGTTCAGGCATCCAAACCCAAGTGAGGTTTGGAGCTGAGTAATCAGCTGCTAGGGATATGCAGACTTTTCGTCGGGGGAACAACCAGCTCCCCACCCCCATCTTGCCGGGCAGATCTGGGGGTGGGGGAGGGGCAGTCCGTCACTCTGTCTTCCCAGCCCCCTCCCACCGACACAAGCTCCCTCTTCCCACCTGCAAGTAATTTGGCCAATGGGAGGGCAGTTCAGATGGCAGTGTGGAATCCCTCTGTGTGCGCTTGGTGGGGAGGGGGCTAACTCCTTTCCCCCCAGACCCCGTGTGCCCTTTTTCTCTTCACAGCAGCAAATTACTTGTAATTATCTCACATTGCAAGCCTTCAGGAGCTGCTCCCAAAATTGCTTTAATTGAATTAATTGAATCTCATTTTGTTGGGGGAGAGATGGGGAACACGTCTTAAAATAGCCTTGGGGGAGAGGGAAGAACAGCCCCAAGTCAGTTTTCTTGTGGCTGAGACCCATGCAACTGAGAGAGTGAGCCTTCTAGGCACAGCTGCTGGCGCTTCTGCATTTAGGACCTTGCCTGTGTCCGGCTCTCAGAGGTGCTGATCCAGGATGTGTGGAGTTCTCTAGTCTTCAGCCCCCTTTCTCCTGCCTGCTCTGAATGGATGGCAGTGGCAGTATGAACTCAGCCTCGCTGTGACCCCTCCTCTTCAATACATACGGCAGCTATAAACACCATTTATTATTAATGAGTGCTTACTATGTTCCAGGCACCATGTCAAACATGTTACAAGCACTATCTCTTTTCAACATCACAACCACACTGGGAAGCAGGTCCTATTAAAGTTCCCATCTTGGGGGAAGGAAAAGGAGGCTGAAAGAGAGGTTAAGCAACTTTCCAAAAGTCACACAGCAGAGCAGGACTCTTTGGAGGCTGAAACTCCAGTTATAAACCACTCTATAGTGTTCCCCCTCCCTTAATTGCCCAATTTTCCCAGAGATGTGTCTGCACAGAAAGGAACTTCAGGCTCCCTTCCTGCAGCTCCAATGGTCTGTGGGAAGGGAAAGGGGTGCCTCTCCCACTGGGGTCCACTCCCATCAGCTGTTAGGAGCCCAGGGAAACTGGACCAGCTCCCAAATGGACAAGGATTCCTGTTTCCGCTGGAAAGGGAGGGGGGCTCTGTCATGCTCAGCTCAGCTGAACCTCTGGCTAGAAGAGTAATTATATTCCTGCTACTTGACTTTACAACTTAGGCTGTTGTTTTAACGATGCGACTTGTGTTGGGCTGTCCAATTAATCTCGCCTTTGGAGGCTTTCCGAGATGGGGCGGTAGATCTTATCTCAGGTCTGTGGAAAGAAGAGTGCAGCCACGTGCTGTGGAAGGGAACAGCTGCCCTGAGGACCTGTGGCCTCAGTGAAGACCTGGAGGAGGAAACTGGGGTTCCACCGAAAGCCAGTGGAAATGGGGGTTGGTGGCCAGGGGCAGGAGAAGGTGTCCATGGGCAGGGAGCAGGTGTCTCTTCTCCTGGCATCCTCATTCCTGCCTGCTCCTGGACCTGGGCTTTGGTCCACCCTGTGCCATCTGCCACCCCCAAAGACCACTCCATGTATGTTTTGAGGAGTAGGGGGTGGCCCCTCAGGGCCTCGGAGGGGTTGACTGTAGGGGTCCTGAGGTGGGGGGCTCCCACTGCCTCCCCTACATAATACTCCAACTTGGGCTGCTCTTTATCCAGTCTGGGTTGGCGTGAAGTGTCTGGGTGGACTTTCCAGTTTGCTAGGGAAAAGGTTTAGGTAGTAAGAGGGAAGTCTGACTTGGGAGCTTCTAGCCTGGCATTGGAGGTCCCTCTTCCAAGGCCTCGGGTCAGGCTGGACTGGATTCCCTGAATTATTTGCCAACCCTGTCCTCAGTCCCCCTGCTAGAGAGAGAGTGTGTATGTGTTTGTGTACTATGCCCTCACTGTCCCCTGTACTTCCCTAGCCTGGCACTTACCACACAAGTGACTGGTCATTCTCTAGCTCCATTAACCCACAGGGTCTGCCTCCGTCACCTTGCTATCCCTAGGACCTAACACAGAACAGGCGCTCTTCACATGTCTAGATGGAGAAGTCCAGTTTCTTCCGGGGTTTTCCTTCTCTTCTCCCTCTTGCTCCCCTTTCCACTAGGTGAGTTTGGACCTTTCCACCCCCAGGAGACACTTCTCCCAGGGGAGGACTGGACTAGCTCAACGAATGTGTCCTCTCCCAAGGAGAGCAGGAACTCTCCCTGGGCTCAACGTGGACACAGAGAAGTATCCAGTTCCCTCCAGAACTAGGCCAGGAGAGCATCTGCTATAACGATCACTCAGACTTTGATCATTCCCAGTATTAGCATCTTCTGGTTTCACACTGGTGTGTCTGAAAATGTGGACATTATTAGAACATTCCAGAGCTAGAACCAGATAGCCAGGTAGAGGCAGAGGACTCAGTGCATCTAGTTCAGTGCTGAAAGAGTCAGCTGGGAGAGAAGAGCAAGCTCGGCAATCAGCTCCAGAAGTCAGAACATGAACAGACCTCAGCCAAGGCCTGGGTTTCTGTACAAACTTTAATTTCTGAATGTTCATGATATGGGGGATGCTGAGAGCTTGCAGGGGGAGCGCTGCTAGTCAGATTGGATATAAATATGAGCAGTTCCTTTGGACTGAGACAGCTATGAGGAGCTGAATTGCTCAGTTCACCCCCCACCTGCTTGGGACATCTCTACTTAAACATCCAAGAGTCTGTTTGTCCCTATTCTCCACAAAATGTTACCCTACTGAGTTCCAGAGAGTGTATGCATGTCGATTTGTTTAGGTATTCGGGATGGGACTCAGACTCTTAATAAATACTTGTTGAACTTGATGGATAATTGGATCCATTATCTACTCAAAGTGAGAAGACATGGGGGAAAGAGGGGCTTTCTTAGGAAAGGAGCAAAATTTACCCATAGGTCCACAAAAGTCCACATTTTTGGCATCCCATCTTCTTCACAGGATGGTAAATAGATGTATCAGTTATGGGGGTAAAGAAAAATCTAGAAAACTCAGTGGGTGTGTCTCAGTAGTGGTCAACTTGAAGACTCTGGATGTCCACTTCTGTCCACATCAATGGGCTGGGCAACGCCCAGGGCACACAAAGAGAAAAAACACTCAGTGTTTGTTGCTAGTTGAACCCCAGGCTGTGGTGGGACTGCAGTCATTTCAAGAAGGGGTGACAAGACTAGGGGTCGTGCAAAGTCTGAACTCCAGCCAATAAGTTTTTTTCCAGAGCCTCTGACTGGAGGGAAAGTGTCCAGTCCTGAGTGGGGGTGGGGGTGGGGCAAAGGCTAAGGCTATTTGGGTTATGAGGCAAGGAGGAAAGGACTCATTATCCTATCCTTTTCCTCGTCTAGCTCCTCATCCTCCTGAGAAAACCCATCTGGATCTGGTTTCCTCCCAGCCCAGAGAGGGTGCCGGTGGGCTGGGTCCTGCCTGGGCTCTGTAGGAGGCTGGGGCCTGACCTGCTCCTCCTCAGACTCACATCATCTGAGGTGGAGCTAGGACATCTGGGGAATGATGCTGATACCAGGCTCCAAAGCTGTTGCCATAGCCACTGGTGGGCAGGGCCCCTGCCTTGGGTAGATCCCAGAGGGCTGGAAGAGGTGGAGAACAGGGAGACAGAGAGGGGGAGCTCCCAGGGAAGTCCCCTTCCTGTCCTCCAGAGTTCTGCTTCAGGAGCTTCTTATACTTGGAGCGCTTGTTCTGAAACCAGATCTTTACCTATGGGGAGACAAGGGGAAACATTGGAAGATCAGGAGGAGTGACCAAGGGAAAGGGGTCCAGCAAGAGGGAGTCACTCGTCCTGGGAGAAGAGCAGATGTTGGGAACACTGGCTCCAGGCCTCCATAAGCCCCTGAAGGCCCTGAATTCCTGCCTCTGAGTTAGTATCCAGTTTTCCCAGTCTCGGTACCGTCCTCTACGCCCTGAATCACCCCACCCCTTTTCCATCCCCCATCCCCTCCTACCCCCCACCCTTTTTAACACACTCCCCCATTTTACTCAGGGCCAGCTAAGAGAACTGCGAAAATAAGGCTGATCAGTCATTCACACCTGAGGGTGAGTTCCCAGGGAACACACTTGGGGAAGGTTGGTGGAGGATGGCACTGGCCCCACCTGCGTCTGGGTGAGGCCGAGCTGCGCGGCCAGCTGGGCCCTCTCGGGCAGCGCCAGGTACTGCGTGTGCTGGAAACGCTGGTTCAGGTGTTGCAGCTGCAGGCTCGAGTAGATGGTCCTCGGCTTCCGGAGCTTCTTGGTCGAGGCCTGTGGGCGCCGCTCCGCGGGCTCCGGGGACAGCGGCGGCTTCTCCGAGTCTGGGGTGGGGTGGGGGCGGCATGAGACGGTGAGTGCAGGGATAGAGGGGCGGACGCGCCGTCTCACGGCTCATCTGCATCTCGTTTGCATTCCGGCCACGAATTAGCAAAAGCCCAGGCACCGGGCTCGGCCCTGCTCTACCTTGCGCTCACCCTCCTTGCAAACCCCACGTCCACTGCGTGCCGGGTGGGACTAGCCGCAGCTCTTGCCCTCAAGGAGCTGCCACTCTCCACGGTCCTAAGACCCTAGGAGGGCTGCGCCGAGGGCAGGAGCGAGGGTAGGGGCGGCGCCCCGCGGCGGGAGGGCAGAGTTCAGCCGCGCGTGGTGGCGCCAGCTTGGGGCGGGGCGGGGCAGAGGGCTGGGGCGAGGCTGGAGAGGACGAGGGAAGGGCATTCCGGGCGGAGGGAACTCAGACACACTGTTCAGAGGCCAGAGTCAGTGTCTGCGTGGCAGCCTCCCCGCTGCCGGAAGACGGGCGGTCGGAGGGGCCAGACAAGAGTGGGCCTTGACTTGAACGCCAGGATGCGCAGTCCTCCCAGCATCAGAGTGTGGAAAGTGCCCCAGGCTTTGCCATCACCTCCCGTATTGTGAGGGCCTCCTCCTGAGGCACACCCTCCAGGAAAACTGACATCTCTTCCCTCCCCCAAGGCCGGCTGGCTGAAAGAGTAGGCTTTCAGGGGCCCTAGAAGCCGGTTGGGGCAAGACAGCCCCCTCCTTCGCCCGGCTGCGCTCACGGAGGGGTTCCCGATTGGCACGCCAGGTGACCGGGGTTCGGAGAGCGCAGGCCCTCGGGGCGGCTCGCGGGAGATGCGGCCACCTTCTGCCTTCCCGTTCAGCCCCTCGAGGAACCTCGGTCGGGTCACAGCTCGGCCCGGGGATGGGGAGGGCAAGGGGTTCCCCTCTTCCGATTCCAGCGTCCCACCCTGCGCCACCCTACAGGACATTGAGACCGTTCGTGCAAAGGACAGGGCCGGGGTGGACGGAGCGGCCGAAATGTCCGCGTGCTTAGGGTTCGCTGCCCGCCGCCGAGCTCAGCGGACCGAGCCCCGGGCCCCGGGTGCCTAGACGCAGAGGGGGTCCGACCGCGTCTCCCACCGCCCCCCACCTTCTTCCTCCTTTAGGGCTTACCCCACCCACACTTGAGGTCCCCCGCCCTCGTCTTGCCGCGTTGACTCCGTGCCTTCACCTCCCCCGCATCCCTCACCCTTGGTCTCCGGCGCTACGGGCTTCTCAGATCCACCCGCCTCGACCCCCGCTTCAGCCAATTTCCAGAAAAACCGTTGGGTTTCCGCTGCCGCCCGCGCCTGCCGGGCCTCCCCCGCTTCAACCCTCCTGCTCGCCGCCCCGGGCCGGCCACGGAGCGACCACCCTCACCTCTTGGGCTGCAAAAACTGAACAGTTCGAACCCTGAGCAGAGACAGCAGGGAGCCTGCTTCAGCTGCGAAACTCTCAACGCCCTCCTCACCCTACCTCTCCCAGCCGACCCCACTCCCAGTTCCTTTCCCCACCGCTGCTTTCTCCACACCAGTTGCAGCAAGTCAGGACGAATCTGCCCAGGTCGCAATTCGGGAGCGCGAGGGCCTCCCTCGAGGCAGCGCAGCACCCGCCTGCTCATCAGGGCGGTGGCACACAGCTCACTTAAAGCCAAACCTCTCCCTGAGGCAGGGGTGAACAAGAGGGGGGCCAAAGGAAGACCCCACAAGTCCTCTCTCACACCCCATTTAATCTAGAGTGAGCCAAATCCCTCAGGTTTTCGTTGGATCCGGGGAAATTTTGTAAAGAAAAGGAACTCTCCACTCTTTAGTCCTTAAACCAAGAAAAGGGAAGGTAAGACAGGACTGAAAATACCAACCGCAATCCCAAGAATTCTCTTAAGGACAGGGTTCTTATTCCTATCCCACTAAACAGACACACAGGCACACACAAATGTACCCCATTAGCATATACTGAAGAGACCAAGGGATTCGGTTTTTTAGAAACCAGATCATTGGTAGAACACCCCCCCACCCCACCTTCAGCTGCTCCTCCTCCAACCACAGACCCAGCAGCAGAAAAGCAGCAGCTCCAGTTTTGGAACAGAAGGCAGTTAACTTTGGGGGGGGGGGGGAGCTTTGAGGAAGTTCCCTAAAATCCTCTTTTCTGGCTTCATGCATGAAAGCCAATTTGCAAGGGCCAAGCCTGAAAAACAGGCTGTGTCCTTGATTCATCCACTCTCTTTCTTTGGACCTCAGTTTGCTCATCTGTACATCAAGAAGGTTGAGCTCCTGAATCTCCAGGGTCATTCCTGGCTCTGATGTGTATGAGGTCATGTGTTTCAGCAGAGCAACAAGGAAAGGGAGGGAGACATCTTGGTCCTGGGCTGACTCCAGCTAAGTCACCAAGTGAGTGTGCATCCTTGGAGGAAACTGTGCCAAAAGCAGTTGTGGGGCAATGTGGTGGGGGTAGGGAGTGCAGGGGAACTAAGCTCTAAACTCAAGCCAGTACAGATGGATGTATATATTGTGTTGCATGGGTACAGCCCTGTGCAAGGCTAGGACCAGGAAGACAGGCCAGTTCCCTAGCTTCTTTGAGGCCACCCAGTGAGCACAAAGTTGCTCCAGGCAATGGAACTGGGGCCTGACCTACCCCAAAGGCAAGGGGTGTAGATAACAGGAATGGCCAGTTCTTTGGCTGGAAGGCTGAGATCTACTAGGAGAGACTGTTTGACCCGCCTGTGGCTACATACTTAGAATGATGGGTAGTAGGGTCTTAGCCCCAGACTCTACCAGGTCAGTGTTTGGTCTCTGTCTGACACATTCAGAGGGGAGAAGGGGAAGGGCCCCAGAATACGCCCGCACTTCTACTGCCTTCCAGCTGGGACCTGATTTCTAGTTATCAGGCTTTGGCTTGAGCACTGCTTTCTGAGACAAGAACTGGGAGAGGGGCGACATGGAAGAGAGAAGGAGTGCTGGATGGAGAGAATCCTAGGGAAGAGGCTAGGCACCTACACCCCCATCTGGATTGTTTCAGTTTTCCGTTACAAGTAGGTACACAACCCTGCTGCCCCAGGGGGTGGGGTAGGGAGCCCAGCAACCCGGCTTCACACACTGCAAATCGAAACCAGGTCGGTCTTGAAAACAGACCTAGATCAGCTCGCCCCCGCCCCTCCTCCCTGTCTCCCGCCCCATCCCTTCGCCCTCCCCCCACCCCAAGATCCCTTGGAATCTGAGTGAGGTCTGAATCCCGCCAGCTGCGCCCAACCAGGCGAGGGCGAAGTTTGGGGGCTCACTGGAGCAGACCCAGAGGTGGGCAGAGCCGCCGCGGCGGGACTTACCTGTCTCCCGCTCTTGATGAGCCGGCTGAGACGGCGCCGTGGATAGCTGGCAGGGCAGGTAGGAGTCTCCGGGGATCGCCGGCCCGGTGTAGGGATAGGGCAGAAGGTGGCCATACGGCCCAGAATAGGGCAAATCGGAGGCGGCTGCGGTTGCGGGGGACAGGCCAAGCTGGTAGGCAGCCACTACCGATGGCACGGGGGCGATGTCCGGGAAGACGGCTTTGGAAGCGTCCGGGCCAGGGAGGGGGCAGGGCAAAGAGGTCATTGCGGCCGGGGCCGGGGCCCGAGGGCCTAGGCCATGGCCAGGCAGTGAGTCCGCTCCCTCCGCCAACTCTTTCTTTTCCGAGCCTCAGGCGTTGGGGCCGGATGAGCCCCTCAACCAGCCTTTCCCACACTTATCCCGGGGAAGGTGTCTCTCTGAGCCTCATCAGCGGAGAGCCGGCGCCTGGGAAAGGGGTTCGGGGTGGGTAGGGTGTCCCCCATGACTTTTCCCCTCCCCCCTAAATCCATGGGGCCCCCACTCGGCTGGCTCTAGGGTTCGGTTCCCGGGACCCGACGGGGTCCCCGCCCACTTAAACGCAGCGGATTGGCTACCACACGCGGTGACCTCACGGAGGCCTGCCGCCGGGGCCTTCCCCCCACCTCCCCGCCCCGCCCCCTAGCGGTGCGAACTCCCCATGCCCGGCTATCTCGGGATCCGCTGCAGAGAGGTGCTGGGGTTGCAGGACGATTGGGGCAGTCTGGTCATAACGGCACAAAGGCAAGGAAGTCGACAGGGCGGCAATGCCCAAGGGCCGAGGGGAGCAGTGCCTAAGCGGAGGCGCTGTGGCTGCGGGGGCGAAAGGAACCTGCGGTCGCGCTCTCTGGCTCTGGGGGATCTGCGCGGCGGTTATGACCCTGCCGCTACGGACCAAGCCCGCCAGTCCCGCAGCTTATTCAGCGCGTCGGAATGCGTGGCTGCCGAGCGCCGGCAGTATGTTGGTAAACAGACGCCGGGTCGGAGGAGGTGCCGCCCGGCGCCCAGCCGGCCCAGCACGCGCGCGGCGCGCACGCCCCCGCGGGGCGCCCTGGGCCAGGCACGCCGCGACCGCCGCGACTGCGTCTCACCGCCACCGCACCCCCCGCACCCCGCCCCGTCCTCGCTTCCGCTTCCGGCAGGGGCCCGGGTTCGGTTGCGACACCGCAGCTCCTGCAGGCCCCCGAGGCCCAAGGAGGGATCTGCCGTCTGGGCTTCAGCCAGTGCGGCGCCCCGCCTTTCCTGGCGCCGCGTAAGGCTTTAGCCTCGCACGAAGCTGGACAAAATCTGGGAGTGGGAAGCGAGTCCAGTTTGATGGCTGCTCCTCGGAGGGAATTCCCTGCCGGGTGCTGGGAATACGGCAAGCCGGGCTCGTGGCCTCATCTTCCAGCCTGTGTGCAGGGCCTGCCCCTAAATAGTATCCAAGACCTTGCTGGGCTGGTGTCTCTGTAGCCACAGGTATACAACTTCACAGGGACTCTATTCAAATACAACAGATACATTAGCGTATACCAGCACACCGGTGTCTACACGGATGTTCACATTAGCATCCCTCCATGAACAGAGGTTCATTTATGTATCTACAGAGTATATGCTGTGATGTGTACACATCTACACACCCAAAGATGAATGGCAATACCCTAAATAAAAGCACTGTGGTTGTCTCTCACACAGACCCACAACTATACAAGTCTAATTGTCGGTGCACACTCTAAAATAAGAAAACCCAAGCATATAAATATTTATATACTTGTACCCATCCTGTGAGACACACCAGTCCACACACATCTAAGCTGGTTCGTGTTAGGGGTGAGACAGTTACACACACACACACACCAAGCCTATCGGTCCTCACAGATTCCCGAGAATACCCATATAAACCCTCTGACATTTGAGTGTGCAGACAATTCATGTGTGTACACACGTGTGCTCTCTTTATCAGGGTACAGAGTGAAGGCAGCAGTCTTAGAATTGGGGGGTAGGAGAGGACAACAATTGGAAGAAGAGGGAAGCTTAGAAAAGGAAGAGAAGGCAGGCACAACAGGGGTGGCCAGGAGAGACAAAAAGATTGGAAAGAGTATGCAGTCAGGTGTCCTGAGGGAAGGAAGAGCAAGTCAGTTTCAAGTTGATGCACCATTGCAATGTGAAGAGATGAATTTTGCCGAGAAAACACTCCTCTGACACCTGGCTCTGGGTTTTCTCACCTGAAGTCTTGGAGCATCAGGAGAAGGAGCTCTGTGAGGGAGCCCCCTCCTTTGGAGATCTGGGACCCACTTCCCTCTCATCCAACAGGGTTTGCAGGGTTGAGAAATGCAATTTCCATATGGGACCTCCTTTCCCCCTTACCCAATTATAGCTACACCCTCACCACTTCCTTAGAACTGGGGCTAAGAACTTACAGGGATATAGCCTTCCAAAACTTCTTGCCACCATCGTCTTCCTCTGGAGAGAGGCAGCCACACAGCAGTACCATGGTGAGCTCCAGGGATGGCGTCTCAGTGCCCACCAAAGGAGAAAAATACTCTTTGAGGTTTCCCTGGTGGCTCAGTGGTAAAGAATCCAGGAACACGGGTTGATCCCTGGGTCGGGAAGATCCCCTGGAAAAGGAAATGGCAGCCCACCCCAGTATTCTTGCCTGGAAAATGTCACGGGCAGAGGAGCCTGACAGGCTCTACTGTCCATGGGGTTGTAGAGTCAGACATGACAGCAACTAAGCATGCATGCATGGCTGTCTGGGAAGTTTTTAGAAAGGAGGTGCTTTTGAGGTGGAACTTAAAGTTTGGGTTGCAGGGCCATGTATTCAGAGTCCTTTCCATGCCAAATCTAGCGAGAAAGGGCAAGGGAAGCTTCCCTAGAGGCCCCTGAAGCAGTGACTTTGGGCACTGTCCGAAGCCAGGGGATTCATTGGGACTCATAGTGAGAGCTTCTCCTAGGCTCTCAGGGGCCTTCACTGAGCTCATGAAGCTCCATGCAGCAGTAGGCAGCATCCTGCCGTCCTTTAGAATTTATGAAGTGTTCACAACATCCAAGCCCTATGCATCTTCACCAGAATCGTGAAGTGGCTACTGTTATTATCCCCAGTTTACAAACAAGGAAATCTCTACTTCCATCACCACCTCCCTCTTCAGGGCTCCCTCTTCCAACGTGTGTGGGGTGTGGGGCTTCGAAACATCTTTAGGAAACTTCGTGGTCTCAGATGTGGAATCCCCATGGAGGGGTCCCCTCTGACCAATGCCACAACTTTGAAGCCTGGAGGGAGAGTGGGGAGATATGGAAGGGCTAGGGGAGAGGTTAGAAGGGATAGGCACGGGCTAGGAAGGGCTGTAAATCTGTGTTTGATGAGAAGGGAGGGAGAGCCAGCCTGAGAGGCCTGAGGCCTGGATTCCCATCCCAGCTCAGCTACAAACCGGGGCCGGCTGTGATAGCCTGGGTCAGCCACGTCCCGTCTCTGAGACTCATTTTATCCACTAAAATGAGGAAGCTGCACTTAAGACCTCCAAGCCATTGTCATTTGCTTTAGAATAAATTGCAAAAACCAAAGTCTAGAGACCGAATAAAACCAAGATGAAGGAGGAGGAGGAGGAGGGGAGGAAGGAAGTCAGGCAAAACATATGAACTAACTCCCCTGTCACTACCAGTACTTCAGCCCCTGCTTGTCACAAAAGCCAGGAGTGGCTCTCCCAACTCTTTCTCACGCAGGTCCTCTCCTTTAGTGAAAGGGGCTCGCTTGGAGAACTCCAGCACGGAAGCGAGGGCCTGGGAGCCGACATCGGGGTCCCGGCTGGGGGACGCGGCAACCCCGAGAGCTGGGGAGTCAGCCAAGCCTTGGTGAGTGGACACGAAAGATCCCGGCGGAGCACGGTGGTTTGCAGGCTCTTCGCAATCGCCCGGCAAACACAATCCCACCCGATGAGGTTTTGATTCTTGGCGCAGAATAAGTGCCCTCGGCGCTGGGATTTATGCTTCACTCGCAGTCCCCCGAGTTCAGACTCTGCCCAGACGCTGGGAACCCTATCCAACAGAATGCCCCTCCTCGAAAACACCCCCAAACACCGGATGAGTGCAGTGCTCGCCGCGCAGTCCCTAAACTCGGTACCACACGGCGCGCCCGCGTTCGGGAGCAAAGGGGAGTGCATGCCACGGGAGCCGGGCGCCGGGGTCTGCAACCTGATGCAGGCCCTCCACGCAGCGCCCGCGTGGACCTGCCCTGGGGCGTGGTTCCCATCACGACCCGGCCCAAGGCCCGCGGCCGCCATTGCGGGATTAGCAGCTCCTTTTTTTCCTCCATCCCACCCATGGACCCCAAACGAAATTTTAATTTCGTCTGTTCTCCGTGGAATTTAAGTCCTACTTGTCGGAGCTTTCGTAGTAACTGGGTTTGGGGAAACTTTGTGAATAATCTGGTTTGGCAGGGAAGGGAGGGGGATGAAAAGTCCTCCCTCCGCTGGGCGGGGAGCTGGGTGTTTAAAGCCACCACTCTTGGTGAGGCCCTCGAGGGGAAGGGGAAGTCTGTAGGGGCCCGCGAGCCCCGCCACACACAGGGATTTGACTCTTGCTGAAATGTGCATGAGTTATTGTCTCTTCTTTGTGATGGAGCAGTGAATGAGCGTGGACTGGCCGGCGGGCTGGCTCCTGCCAGCCCCGCCGCGCTCCGGGTGCTCTTACCTCCACGCTCCTGAGAGCTTTCTCAGTGATTGGCGTCCCGGCCTCATTTTCCAGATCACCTGGGAGAAGTTCCCGGGAAGGGGGAGGGGGAGACCATGGGGTCAGCGTCGCACAGGGATCCCGGCACCGCTCGGCAGGCGGGCTGTGCCCTACGTTCTCCGGCAGGCTAGGTCCTCAGTCACTCTCACCGTGTCATTGCATTATTTCCAAATTTCACTCCCGCTCCAGGAAAGATCTTTTATTGGGGTTTGACTGGGACAGTTAAACATATACGAAGTCACCAAATTAATTAAAAACAATATCATGAACCACTCTTGGACCAAATAATTCCCTCCCCTCCAAAAAAGAAAACGGTTAACAAAAAGTGGGGCGGCCCTTTTGAAGATGCGTTAGAGGCGCCGCCCTCCGCGACGGCAGAGCCCTTTGGCTGGCCTTGGCCCCAGCCCGGTGCGGGAGCGGGAAACGGCCGGGTTGGGGACGCGGGAGTTCCGGGCCGGTGTCCCAGCCCCGGGCCTGTCGGGCGGACAGACCTCGGGACGCTGCGCTGGATGCCCGCGGGGAGCGCGAAGAGCTGGCGGGAGGCCCAAAGCCAACCTGTCTGCAACGAAGTCGGGCGCCTGGAACGAAGGCAGCTCATCTGGTTTCTCCAGACTTTTCCAGACCCCCGCACGGAACCTAGGGCGTTCCGCCCAAGTCTCCATCGCCCAGCCCCGGACAGAAGCCGCTGGTAGGACGTGGCTGGAGTGGGAACAGCACCTAGCGAGCAC